AGAAGTAATCCCCTTAGAGATGAAGCAAAAGTTCAGCAACAGCACAGTGCATGTGTGGAAAAGGTGACCACCATACTGTTAAGGCAGTGTTTGGCTCCCCTTTGTACATCTATCTAGTGGCCACAATTCAAACAAGATCTGATGTCTTCCTCCCATGATGTGCGCTCTTATCACACGACACAGATGTCTGAGTGAATGCCAGCGGGCTCAGGTCTGTGATGAGAACTCCTAGTTATGCGTGGTGGCACCCGGTGTGAGCGCTGGCTTCCGAAGGGCAGACAGATAAATTATTCAGGCTGAAGTTTTGCATCAACACGGCTCAGATGGCAGCACATGAGAGGGATTAATTTATGCAACATCCATGAGAGGACAAGGAGTGAGAGGTGCTCACATGTAGGTGGAGAGGCAAATTACTGCTCATAATGGAAGAACTAGCTAATTGCTAAGTTACTGTATACTGTGACATCTTTGTATTGGAGATGCAGGTGATGAAGAAAACAATAAAGCAATGCGTCCCGGAATGTTTGCTCTGCTTCGACTATTGTTGACTTGATTTATTCTTTTCAGATTATTTTGTGAAAACGTTTGAGTCTTATTTAAAAACAATAACTTGGGCTTATTAAGTTGGAAAAAGATGCACTGAGGGAACAAAGAGTGTCCCAGATGATAAATTAGATAAAATCTCAGCGGTGTGACTTTTTTAGTTCTGTTATTGAAAACATTTTTTTTCAAGTGCTTCAAAAGCAGTCATCTTTAATCATCTCAGCTGGACACTAATTAGTTTAAATGCAACACGTGTTAATGGTGAATAAATTTGTGTTCCTTATTGATAATGTGTCAACGCTGCACCGGCCACGGTCCTGGCCATCTCATGTTTGCCTAAACGACTTTGACAAAGCTGGTGTAAGTGAATAGATATTGTTTGACTGACATGGGGAGGCCTGTCAGAGGAGCATTAGCAGACCATTAGCATTCCATGACATTTTCCCATCCGTCCAGAAAGCAGAGGTGGCCCTGTAAACAAAGTGCTGTTGCGGTGCATGGCAAGGAGAAAAGGGAATAGAATGTAATGTAAAATGGCATTGTTCGGTGGTTGAGATACCAGGTACGCATTCTAATGCAGATCTACAGGCCAACCTCAGGCTGGCTGAAACAGAGGAGAGAGACGATAAGGGAGTGGACGAATGGGACATGCAGCAGGGTAATTGAAAGTGCTGGGGATTTTAAAGGCCAAATGCTACCAGAGGTTATCAGCTGCAGTAACAATCTGAATTTTATATGGGAGTAACTTATTATCCGGACAAAAAGGAGGTTTGTCACACTTCACAGAGGGCACGCAGGATACAACAAGATCATAAAGGCCACAAGCAAACTTTAGAGAGCCTTTAAAGCACTGTAAAATTACTTTTAGCACCTTGTGTGCAGAAACAATGTTTGGATTGTGTACGTAACAGCCTTTTGAATAAATGTGCTCCAGTTACCACCAGCCGTTCCCTTTACAGTAATTGTCTCAGTAATGGAACAAACTCCATAATGTGGCATTGATGTTATAATTTTTTTTCCATGAATCTGCACACACTGAAAGAGATCACCGCTTGGACTGGCATCAGTAAAGTGGCTTACATCATTGTTTATGTTACCATGCAGGGCAAAACAAACCTGAAAATAATAAGTGAGAGCAGCAGAATCATGTGTTTATGATTGCCCTTTACTGAGCTACAAATTCCCCCAACAGCACCATGGGGGAAAGACACAACAATACAAAGAATAGGGTTGAGACAATGACAGTGTTTTGTCATGTGAGGATGCTGCACACACGCACATGTGTGTGCCCACACAATCTACACAAACACATAGCCATAGCATTCTCTAAATCAGTGGGCAGCCTTAGGAAAGCCCCAAGGCTAAAGGGAGACTGATGACAAAATCTGCATCTCATAAAACACCAACACTCTCCCACTGTTTCCTTAGGGTACAGGGCCAATTCCTCCGCTCCTGGTAAGAAAGAACAAAATACCTAACAGTATGGACACAGCTTGGCCTTGGGGAAAGCTGACTATATGGTGGAGATTGCCTATTAGCACCCACAGCAAGTCGTCGTTTTGTGTAAGAAGCCATAAAGGTGTAAAAACATCATCCTGACATGAATTTCTATATTTGTCAGCATGGTGTGAACATCAAATTACAGCCTGTTCTTTCAATAACCTTTTAAAATGAGTTCAGTATCTTTACAGTTAAAGGTCCAATGTGTAATACTTAGGAGGAGCTATGGGCAGAAATGGAATATATTGTTTCTATTGGTATATAATCACCTCAGTATAGGAATTGTTTTTATTACCTTCGAACGAGCCGTTTTTTATCTATAGACGCAGCAGGTCGCCTTCGATGGAGGCCGCCATGTTGAACCGCCATGTTTCTACAGTAGCCTAGAATGGACCAACCAAACACTGGCTCTAGATAGGGCCTTTTGTGTTTTTTGTGAGTTTCATGGCCACCATAGTTTCTCCTACACACTACACAGCCCGTTCTCATTCCCAGGTTGTCAGATACAGATGCAAGCGGCGTTCAGTTAGTTTCAACCTGACACTTCAGAGCTAGATGCCATTAAATCCTACACACTGGCCCTTTAAAGCTTAACTTCTCAACATGGACTTTTGTTTCCCATGTTTTTGTGTCAAAGTGAACTCAATAAAACAGCTGTGAAACGGGCTATGAAAAAATCCAGATGGGCAATTACACACAGTCAAAATACGTCTAGTAAACGGTGCTGCAGGGCTGAAAAGCTTGGGAGACTGGTGGTGTTCCTGTGGGTGCTGTGACCCTATGCCCACAGAGAAGATTTAACAGACCAGTTTAAGTGAAAGGTAACAAGAACGTTTTATGTTTCTGTAAGGTCCTCTCTATAATGTTGACAGACACACGCTAACAGTCTGAGCCAGTCAGTAGCAAGAACAAGCACTTTTAATGGACGTATTTTGAAGGTGCCCATAAGGATTACGTACAGGCTGCAGCACTCTCCCTCAGTGCTGGAAAATTTGTTGTTCCCCTTGGTCACTTTGACCCAAAAACATGGGAAACAAAGGCCCATGTTAAAAAATACCCTTTAAGTAACAGTTCAAAATCTTGGGAAATATTATTTGCTTTCTTATCCTACATCATAAAATTGGTATCAGTCTCATGAGCCAGAAGATGATTAGCTTAAGTAAGCATTAAGACCATTGACAGTATATATAATGGACAGAGCTTCCGGTCTGAAAAGTGAAGCCAATGCAGAAGTGTCTTAAAACCTGCATTCTATGTAAATTCCAGCAGGGGGAGCTCCATTGGCTGCAATCACCCAGCAATCCCATTCACTTTAATAGAAAATGAGCCTGAACTTGTCACTTCAATTATGAGCTCAGTTAAGAGTTTCCTGGTGAGTTTAGGGTCTCAGTCGCTAGTTTCACATCTTCTTCAATACATTATGATGTTCATTTAATAAATTATGATCCAATTTAGAGCAAAATAGACAATAAAGTGCTGTATGCTTTTGGGTGGCGCTACCATTTGTTTGACAGGTTGTTCTCAGTGAGTCCAGCCAGCGCAGTGCACAAAACTCAGATCAAACTGTCAAACTAGGCAGTGCTGATCAAATGAAAAGCAAGATTCTGTTACTGTGTTGCCTATTTCTTGCTTAAAATTGTTTCACAAACAAAAGTTTAGGTGTTATATGAGATCATGTGTGACCAGGCGAGCCGCCATTGTTTCCTGCTATGGAAAAACTGTGCAGCCAATGAACGCAAATCAGCTCGTACATCACGTCCACTGGCTCCGTCTAACTGTCATGGTGACGGCCAAAACTGTGAACTTGAGGCTTCAAACTGGTACTCCACAAACCAATGAGTGACGTCATGATAGATTCACACTTGATTAAGATTGGATGCAGGGGAAACAGCTAGCCTGGCTCTCGAAGTTGAGAAACCAGCATTATTTACATCCATGATAACTTGTTTACAATCTACTTCACTGACTTTGTCTTGACGCATTATCACCACCTGTTGATTAGTGGAATAGTGTGAAACTATTGACGAATGGTATAGCTTGCCACCCACATGCACATGCATATGCACCTCATAACAAGGATCTGACAACTAAAAATACACCATAAAGTTACCTGATCAGTTAAACTACGCTTATATCAGTGTCAAACATTATTTCCCAAGTCGCTTGCCAGCTAGCTGTTGCTGGATGACATTTACCTTCCCTTCACATGTACTTCCTCGTGCGTGTGCATGAAAGCAACAAAAATTGGGAATTCACAGCTAAAACCATTGCTTCATAGCATTATTAGTGGTAAAAAAAAAAAAGGAACCTTTAAATTCCACTGTTTTGTCAATTTAAGTCCACATCATACCATTTTTCTGACCTTGTGGTTATTTAGAAAAGAAAAAAAGTTCCTGTATGTTTAGCATATCAAAGAGGTGGACTGCTCAGGAAAAAAGAACAAAAGTCATTTCAGGCTGTGTACAGTAGCCTCTGCTCAGGTTGCCACTCTATAAGCTTTCCTCAGTCAGCAGCCCCTGCTGGCTAACCTTTGGATGACTTTCAAGTCCCTCCGCACACCATTGTTATTCCTCTGTCTTTCCCTCAGATGTCCTTTTCTCGAGCACAATCACTCAAATGCTCTCAACTCTGAGAGGAAAGCAAGCATGCTAGCTCCTCAGAAGAACCACAAACTGGGGAGTACTGTCAAAAGAACAATTTGCACAACACAAAAGCTTTTGTTTCCAGCCCTTTGAGTGGGAGACAGGTGGTCACTGTGGGAATAACTTGGCTTTCCCTTTGAAAAACTATGGGGACAAAGGTGTCAAGTACAGGCAAGCTACAGAAACAAGAGGATTTGTGTTTAAGCACTAAGCATATAATATGGAACGTATTCTATTCTATCCTGTTTTGTTCTACTTTATTATGTTTTAGTCTCATACATACTGCATAATTGAAAATGTATTTCACACAGCGCGTAAAATATTCCTTTTCTTTATTTTTTCATTAGTTGCAGGTATGGCACAAAAAATGGGTGATAAATCCAAAGAAATACAGTGAAAAAGAAGCCTGATCATATATAAATATAGAGCACATAACAGAGAAGAGTGACAGGTCATCATTACAGGGTGTCGGCACGGAACAAGATAAATAACATCACTGAAACACAGCTTTCTCAACAACCTTGATATTACAGCATCACATCTCATTATTTCCAGGGGTCTTTTCTTGTCATTCTGCACGCTGTCAGCCACACTGATGGTAAATAACTGGTAAAAATGGAGTCTGTGTGGGAATTTGTGTTGCTCCTGCGGGCCTGCGATTCATGATCAGAAAGAGAGGACAGAGAAAAGAGGAAAGCTATCGAGACGTAGAGTAGCGAGATTCACTCCAACACCAGAGACAGTAAGGTACCAAGAGGTGGCAGTTTTCCCACCGGTAAAGTTGTCACACTGAGCAGCCATGCCATCAAATAACGACATCCTGCTTCTTCCCTGACAGAGTAAAATGAGATCTCTGAAATGTGTCTACCTCTTCCAGTTATTTAGTGAGACTGCAGTCAGCCTCCTGTCGAGAAGTCACTCAGTACTGCCTAGCCACTGTGTGAAAGTAAAAGAAACTTACCGCATTAAGATGGCAATTTTACTCTTGAAAAACATTCAACACACAGGTAATGTTTCAGCTTCAATTTGACAGACATTTTGTTCCTGCTTGACTGCTTCATACGAACATTTTTCTGAGTGCCAAATTCACAGTGAATGCCAATTCTGTCGGTGCTGGTCGTACCTAACCACAATGCCTCCCCCACTTTTGGCACCAATTCTCTTTGCTGAATCAATACCAAGAAAGCAGGGTGTGTATAGTGATAATAGGGCAACCAGCTGCATTTATATCATGCTAGTGGAAATGAATGGTTATTCGGGGAGCTAAAATAGCGCAATGAATGGCACAATGTGACAAAGCCCTTCTTAGGTTGAACAGAAAATGAGAACATTTCCACTCAGAAAGAATTGTTGTGACTGTTCCTTTTAGAGACCCTCGAAGCACTAGGTATTAAGCATTTAAATACATAGCGAGAATACTAAATTATAGCTGTAACTAAGTTGGTAAAAATGTGAAAATTACAGCTGAATTTCTTTAAAAACACCTCCAAGAAACATTACAGTTGGGAATTGTTAAGCAGGATCTCTTCTACCTGTTTATAATATTATGAGGTATGCACTTTCTAGAAATTAAGGCTATACTTTGTTTTAAATTACATTTTCCACATAGCAACTGGTCATGGTTCTGCTCACATGGATAGGTTTAATCAAATTTAGCAAAGAACTTGGGAAATTGTTTCAACATAATGCACTGTACAGCAATTATGTTCAATCTGCAGCCTGCACAAACTCTGACAGACCACGTCCTTTAATGCTACAGTACCTCCATTTTAATGGTATTAATCTGAGCACTGGGTACATTCATGCACAACTGCATTATGTATTTGTGTATTCATCAATGCACAAAAAAAATAACAGATTTTAATAAATAATACAGGATGAAACAGCACTGAAAACAAGTCCTTGTTTGTTTCCATGGTACTCCAACCTTACCATATTTGACAATAGGTTATTTCCTTTGCGGTTCAATTAAGACCAACACGTAGCATTTATGGTACACAAAGGCAGCAAGTCAAATGTGTAATTTTATCAGTAAAGGAGGTGAAACTGCATTCTAAAAGGAAAACACTATCACTGCAGCCTGCTTTCCTCCTCCCACCTACCAAATGGCTATTGCCTTTTCTATGCAATAAAGATCGACTAGTGTTGTTTGTTTTCTGCAGTGTAACAAAGGAAAAAGGTAATTTCTAGGGTGTCCAGTACGATGTAATGCAATGCAATACAACTGGCCCAAACACCTTAAATATAATATTTGTTGAAACTGCAAGCTTTATTTCTTTAACTTTTTTTTGTTGTAGTTGTATGGACTGAATTCTATGGTGCATTTTCAGGCTGTACTTTATAGTCATTTTATTTGACTGCATCGCATTGAAAGGTGCCCTAAAACCTTTTCCATCTAATTTACATTTACTGCATGGAGAGGCAATAACAACATAACACAACCCAGTACAACACCATCACAAAGTACAGCTTCAAAAATGACTACCATCAACTTCAAATAATCGCGTGTGTCAACAACAAATAACTGCATGTCAGTCAGAGACACTTTAGTCAAGGAACTGAAGATATATAGCAAATGGTTATACAGATATTTTTGGTGGAAAAGGCTCTACTGTTTGAAGAACTCTCAAACAATACGAGCAGCAACATACATGAATGTTAAGACTGTTATATAAAAGAAAATATGGCACATAAGGAGGAGCTTTAGGTGGTGGAGGGAGCTGTTGTAGCAAACAATGGCAAATGAGTAATAGTGAGAAGTATCAGGCTATACAGTAACGGCCAAGCTGTAGGACACCTGCATGAATATAATTGGACGTTGCTAGTCAGCTGACAGCCACACGGCCGTAGATTCAGCTAGTGATTGTGAATTATGAACGAAAACAGCTGATGCCCATCAAGTGATGCAAGTGTGACTTCAGTGCTCTCCCTAGCGCTTTGCTCTATATGAGAGTGTAGTATTCATTACTGGACAGTTGCAGTAGATTGCAGTACAATTCTTGCAGACAAAATAATAAATAAAATAGAGACCTTTAAATTTTATGTTATCATGACAGTCTTTTCAAGGACTGAACTTAATAGATTCCAAGAAAGGTCTACCACAAAGAAAAGAGAAGAAAAAAAAAAGCTACTGTCATTTTATTTTTGTAACCCTCTATTAAAATTGATGGCACTATCACCACACACACGGCAAAGTCTTGCATGAGTGTCAAAATAAAGTGGCTGCTGTGAGAAACATCTGACACTGTGTGTGCTGGTGGGAAAAAAACAACACACACAAAATGTCTTGGGCCCAGGCACACATGGACACATTCAGCTCCAGCACCACAAACTAATCAGCAGAGACAAATACCTCAAACCCATTTCCCCTTGTTAGTTTATGAACACTTCACACCCTCCACGACTACAGAAGCCTCTCATCATCAAAATAAAGCCAGTAAACACCGTAAGAAAGAAAACTGTCACACAACACTGTTTACATATTCAAAAACTGTTAATCCCCTCCAATTGTACTTTGAAGTAGCTTAGAGTACTTTTATCAATAAATAGAGCAGAGCTGAGTGTGTAAGATAGTCACCAGGCTCACATCCCCTGCGTACACAAAGGGCAGAGGCTGACACAGGGTGTGTGAATTGCACAGAAATTGAAATCAAGGATATGGTGAGAGCTGTCATACCATGGAAACAAACAATGATTCATTTTTATGTCCAATTTCAGCCGTGACTATTGGAAAATCAGACAATATTTGCTTCACATGGATAAAAAATGTGCAGATATGTATGAATGTACCCAGAATTATTAAAATACACCACAAAAGCAGGTCTGCATAGTTTTTGAAAGGCTGATACCGATATAATTTCAGCATGCACAAAACACATTTCACAGTATGGCGACTTTAGAGGAGAGTTAGATGAGAAGATTGATACCATTAATGTCTGTATGGTAAATATAAGCCGACAGCTGGGAGCCAGTTAGCTTAGCTTAGCTAACAAAATCGTATTAGAACCTCTAAACCTCACCAATGAACACATTATGTGTTGTTTGTTTAATCCGCACGTAAAACGAAGAGCGAAAATGACTAATTGCGGTTTTATTATGTGCCAGAATATTTCTTGGCTGAAAGCAGTGACCTCCTTAAGTCTCTGCTAGGTGCCTGGCAAGCTCATGGAGACAACCCCCCATTAAACCATAACAAGTTGTTTTTTATACTTCGAGTTTTGCATGAATTAAACAAGCAAAACACAAGATGTTAAGTAGTGAGCTTTAGAGGTGCTGCTAGATGGATTTTGTTACCTTCAGCTCGAGCCAAGCTAGCTGTTTCTCCCTCTTTTCAGTCTTTATGCTAAGCTAAGCTAAGGAGCGTCGAGAAATAAAGCAAATAAACTTTAAATGTATTGACCTCAACACCAAAGTGATACCAAAGGCATTCTTTCCTTTAAATCCAGCTGTAACTTTTAATCATTCATGTACTTCCAGGTCTCTATTACATAAGGATTTTGTATTCTTGTTATGAACTGACCAGGTGCTCAGGGTGTAAAAGGAACAATTACCAAAATATCTTAAGGAACTCATATCCATACTTAGTAACAGTGACGACTGCACGGGCACTTTGGCACTTTTCATTACCTACTATACCACAGGAGGATATAGCAACTAGCTAATGGATATTTTATCTGAGCTTATTTTTTTGGAAATTGTGTCAAAGTCTGTGTCAAAGTCAGGCGAACGTCGTGTTCTTGATGTGTCCAAAACAACCTATGAAAGTCTGAAAAGTTCTCATCATCAAAAGCACACAAAAAACACATGTTTTAGTAAAACATTACATCTAGTAAGACTGTAAGAAAAGAACTCCTCCCAGAACTCCATTTACATTCATTGTGATCTGGGCCTTATGGAAATAAAAACACAAATGAAAGGAGAGAAAACAAAATCAACAGAAATGGATAGCAGATAATAGCTGTGATCTCTATAACATCATACAGACCATAATGATATTGTAAGGATGCCCTGAAATGCTCATCATTCTGCTCTGTTTTGTTTAGCATATTTATCATCTTTAAATGTATCAGTTTTTTATCACACCTATTGTACACAGCTTCATGTTCACACATGTACATAACCCACTCAGACCACCCAGGCTTCCACTGAAGAGGCTACATATGCTGAACAACCACAACACCAAACTGAACCTTTACCCAGTCTGCATTCATTAAGGTTTTATTTATACTCCTGAATGGGTTTCCTTTGCTTTCTCTCGTGTTCTGGTTGCACTATAAATATGAATGTCACAAGTAAAAAATGATCAATTTGCTGTTAAACGTGGACTTGTTTCAGAGTGTTGAAAAGCCTGTGGGAGTAGGTCACGTATGTGCAGAGAAATATAAAATGGATTTTATATGTTGAGACCTTAAACTGTATGTTGTGCTTCCTGTACTCCAACATAAAACATTTATCATAAACCTTTGAATAGAGCTTCTTTAACATTTACAAGTTATACAGTTACCAAATTGGTTTACTTCTTATGCTTCCATCAGCTTTGATACTTAAGCAATGCAAAGGGAGACAACAAGAAGAGAAAGGAAGTTAAGTCATCTTCAACAGAAAATATAAGAAACAAGACACAAGTCCTCAAAACATTTGTCATAACCAACAATGAACGGAATTTTTCATTTTCTTATTTTCTCTTTTTTACAATACATTTTTTAAAAACCCCGCTGGTTAAGGTTATGGTCTCAGGTAGATCTTCCACAGTCAATCTTCACAGTTTGTGTAAAAGCAGAGAAACATTCTCGCTAGAGTAATAAAATATCATGACTATTATTATGGTCATTATTATCTTTTATTCTCATTGTTCCATATAAATGTTGGAGGACAGGGGCGAGGCGTATCACCCTAATGAAGAGCCTGCAGTCCCAAAGTTCCTGCTCTCCTCCCTGTACAACGCAATGTTTTATTCAGCAGTTGTTCTTTTCTTTTGTTAAAAAATGCTCACCCGCAGGGAAGGAGAATCATGGGAAGAGAGAGTGGGGTATTCATTAGACGAAATGTCTTTATCCTTCCGTATGATCTTAAACTGTCTTTCTGCACACACAAAAAAAAAAGATCCAGAGCCTCACTTTCACGGTTGCCGCTGTTTTTATCCAAATTGTTTGCCAACCTGGTCTGCCAGCACTGCCTGGTCTGCTGCCCTCACATTGAACTACGCGTAGGCATAGGCTTAGGCGCATGCACACACACAAACACGCACTTGCACACACACACACATAACACACACACACACACACACACACACACACACACACACACACACACACACACACACACACACAGACAGACAACTGTCCCATCAGGAGTTGAATCCGGGCACAATCCCATACTCCCTCTGAACACACATGCCCTCCCATCAGCACTTGTGGGGCAAAAGAAACATGTAGAAAATAGCCCATCAGAGGAAACATGAACAGAGATGTGTCCGATGTTGATTAACACCCAGGCTCACGATTCGGTTTGTAATCTGAAGGCACTTTGTTTCATGGCAGAAAGTAAAGTGGCTTCTGTTCCACAGGTGGACCGCTGACTGAATATTCGAGTCAGGCCTCACTTATCGGACCTTTCTCTACTCTCTGCCTGTTCCTCCTCTCCCTCCACTCTTCCTCTCCTCAACATACCTCCTCTCTGTTCTCTTTCCACCCGTCCCTCTCATTTCAGCTCCCAAGCTCCAACTTCTTTCTGCCCTCCAGTCCAGCTGTCTACACCTCCGCTGATTCTTCTGCATTTTTTTTTCTGCCACCATACCGTCGGTTGGCCACTTGGACTCGTGAGCACAGTGTTAAAAAGATACATAGGCAGCTACAGGGGAGTAAGCAGACAGAACTAAATGTTGCCAAAGTCCTTGTTTTTCTACAGTACAGCACCAAGCAGATAAAGAAATGCCAAGATGTGACGTGAAGCTGGGCTATCTGGTGCAAGAAGATGAAGATAAAGATACACAGAGAAAGGTCTGGTTCCATGTATTTGTAAGCAGGGAAATGTTATTTCTTCTTCAAAAAGTCAGCAGTGTCTATATTCTGCCACCTTCCAAAGATATTTTCATAACTTCATAAAATTGTTCTTGTGCTTTACAAACTGTCCTCCCTCGACGCTTGTGAACTCTTTCGCCAAAGTCCAGGCTTATTCATCGCCCACCTGTCTTTGTGCTCGTAAAGATGTCCCAAGTCCTGCACCGAGGGGTGTTTTCTGTAAAAGAGGTCTCTTTAAAAAATTAGCGCATCTTCTTTATTACTTTTTGTGTAACTTTTTTATCACTATTTTTTCTCTCTTTCATGAATTTCAGTCCCTCCGTGGTCTGTCAGGGGTCCCCTGCTGCTTTCAGGATGCATGAATCTTTGGTGATTGGATGCCGAGGGTATAGTTCACAGACGGTGGGTCTGAATATTCGCCTCTGAGATGACAGCGAGAAGGGTCACCTCTGACCTTCCAGGAGGGTCATCACCAAGGTGACGCATAGCAGCCATATATGGGAGGAGGTGGAAGGAGCCTTGCTGAGATCTACATAGGAAGAAGTAAAATAAACAGAAAATAATGGTAGCTATGAATTTTATATACTCCAATGAGCAAAACACAGATCCCCAGACAGAAGAAATAGCCATTTTAGGAAACATACTTTCCTGAGAAGATCGATAACACTCTCATGTATGTATCTAGCCTGGCTCTGTCTTCAGAAACAAAAACTCAAGTGTTTTGTTTAAGTTGTGAACTGTTGTTTAAGTTGTGATTTTACACCTCGGTTTTGTGTTGGATTATTTCCTTGCTGGACAAAGTGACTTCCTGGACTCCAGAAAGTCACTGCTCCAAGCCAAGACATAGCAAATAACCCCTGTAAAACCACAAATAGCCTTTTTTTTACGCTAGCTGTTTCCCTGTACTTTCAGTCTTTAAGCTAAGCTAAGCTAAGTATGTCTTGGCTCCAGTTTCATACTTTACAGAGACACAAGAGTGGTATTGATCTTCTCATCTAACTCTCGGCAAGAAAGTGAATAAATATATTCCCAAAAATGTATTTCCAGAAACTATTTGATGATTAATTTTCTCTTACATGAACATAAAGTCATGTAAGATTTATCATGTTGGATTGAATTGCATAATTCTTAACATCACTCTGGGCGACCACTCCTATAACATAAAAATGCATTAATGATGTTGCTTTGAATCATGATTAATCTAAATGAATACAAATATTGCAGCAATAAATACCACACATTTTAGATGACATGGAAATGAAAATGATTCATCTGATTTATCTATGGAATCTTAAATGGAGGTCTAAGATTGAGAAGCTGGTGGAAACAATATTCCTCCAACCATAAATAGCAGGATTTAAATCAAAGGAACAGCGTTTGTCTGCCTACCAATGTCACCTTGTCAATTGGAGGCCATTTTCTGTGTCCTGGTTTCTGCTTTTACCTTCTGTTTGTTCCTGCAGCGCAATTACAGTGTTCCACTCAGCCAGTGTGGCTATCATTCATGTGATTACAACACTGTTGCTACGGCAACCGTGTTCTCCCCATGAGATGGTAGCTCAATGCTGGCAAGTGTCTCAGATTAGATCCCCTCTCGTAAATCTCAACCCTGTCCGGCGAGGTAGAGCGAGACCCCAGAACTCAGATAAGAGGGAAACGAGAGGGGATGGAGGAGGTGGAAATGTGTCGCTACTCACTGGGTGGTGGGTCTCGACACTCCCCTTCCTCTAGCATGACATCATCAATGGCGATGTCTCCCTCAATGCCTGGTCCCCGGATACCTTCGAGCACCACCTACAGAGAAATAAACAACTTTGTCTTATTAAATGTTCAGCCTTGATAGAGCACAAAAACAAGAAAATTAGCAAAAATGTAAGATAAAATATAAAAGGGTGCACACAGTGTAATTTTACCACATTGCCCCTAAAAAAAAACCCAGCAGGTGGCAAGCATTTGTTTCAGTTTTTAATGTCACAAAATTTAAAGAACGGAGAATGCTTGTGGTGTTAGAACTGTTAGAAGTGAGAGTGGGAACAAAAAAAAGCCCACAGAAGTGCAGCTGAAACTATAATTACTTTCCGCAACTGCTGCAGTAAAAATGATGGAGAATATTGCAGTTCTATATTCGCTACTCACAAAGATTAGGCTTCCTGATGGCAAAGCGTGAGTGATATTGCTTTCTCAACAACAAACACTGTCTATGGATCCCGTCCACTTCTCTGCTTAATATCGAGGCTTGTGAAGTGCTACATCAATATGCAGCCCCCAAGGAAACTAATACTTCGCCATACAAACACAGTCGGAGAAGAAAATAGAGGGCAACAAGGGGAATGCTGCTGTGTATTGGATTGATTAAGTTTTTTGGTCTCACCTGGAAGGACGCCGTTGGATGGATGCTTACTTTGGCCTGCTTCCAGCGGTCACCTTGGTTACCACTTAGCGACCACACGGGGCCCTCAGAGGTTGTTTGGCCCTTCTGCTTGAGGAAGGCGTTTAGTGTTCCTGTATGAGGGACAGTGAGACAGTAACACATAGAGGTCAGCATGCACACACACAAACATGATTACAATAAATGTATGGCCGTGTGAAAACAATATAAAATGGCAAAATAGCTTACTTGGTTTGTCTGACAGTATTTAACTTAAAGTAGGTCATCAGTACACATGGTAACCAGTTTGTCATCACAACCTTTTAGCATTCAGCAGTGCACTGGTCTATCTTCATTATAATCATTTAGTATGTTACCACAATGAAATACAGACAGAATAAGGTTTCTGTTTACTTTCAATGCACGCCCACGGCCTCTTCTTTTCTCTCTGTCATTATCTAACTCATATCAAGTTTCATAACAATATGGGGCCTCAATGAAGACTTTCAGGAGGTAGAGAGTGGGTCGATCCCCTGCTGCAGGTTAAAGTGACCTTGAGCAAGGGGGAATGTGGCATGTAGTGTTAAAGTGCTTAGAGTGGCTGGAACTACACAGGCGTTACACAAGTACAGATTATTTTATATCCATTAAAGATCTTATATCTAGAGTGCTACTGTAAAAGCTTGAAACTGCAACAATGAATCTTTTTTGTAGAAAATCCACTCCTATATTTGATATACTACAACCATACTAGGGGACTCCATTGTGAATTCCAGTGTAAAACTGCAAGTGAAACTGGATGTAGACTTTTAAGCTTATTATTCATCTCTGTCTCCTGCATTTCAAATTTATGTATTCCTCTGCATTCGAAGTAGAGCCAAGCAGTAGCAAAGGTTAAGCTCGGGTCATATGAATTGATACATTTATTAAGCTGGGGTTCTGCAAGCAATGATAAATTATTCTCTAGCCCATATTAATCCAAATTAATTATCACTAATGGGCAATGTGTGATGAGAATTTTTGGTGAGTGTAAATACTTTTCCTGTGGAGAACAGTTCCTCCTAATTTATCATTAATTTCAAACTATTTCTGCTCAGTCCGGCTTCCTTTTTCTCTTCTTTTTCTTTGGGCTTTTTGCCTTTATTTGACAGGGCAGGTTAAGATAGACAGGAAAGGGAGGATAGTGAGGGAAGACACACAGGAAAGGGCAACAGGTCAGACTCAAATCCATGGCCGCTGCAGCAAGGACTCAGCCTTGGTACACAGGGTGCCAGCGCAACCAGGTGAGCTACCAGGGTGCCACAGTCTGGCTTCTTTCTTGATCTGGATTTCTGCACACGAGAAACTACTAGATGTGACCGCTGAAACCAGCTCTACATTTGAAAATGCCAATTCATATATAACCCTTACAATAACATAGAAATACTAGCTGTTATTGAGACAGAATAGACTATATACCAGGTCTGAATTGAAGACTCCCCTCAGAGGGACCTCTTGTCTGTCCCTGGGCTTTGATATAAAACTGTCAGATGATGACACCGAGTGCAACCACTTTACCCTCCTCTCCAAACACACCGATTGTGTTAGTTTCTTTCTTTGCCATGCAGTAAGACAGAGAGAGAGAGAGAGCGAGAGAGAGACAGAGAGAGAGCTGTATCCTTCAGCAGTGGGCCAGCATCCAAAGACCCAAATCAGGTTAGTACTGACACCGTAGTGAAGCCCAGCAGGACCACTGTTCTGAAGTCAAGTGAATTTCACACGTATGGAAAGCAGCACCTTTCCGTTGACACAACAGGCAAGCAACAACAGCAGCGACTACGACTGCAAACTTGTTTTTGGAAGCGTCTTTGCCTCAGCGAGGTGCCTCATTACAGTACAGCTCCCTTCAAAAAAGAGAAGATAAAAAAATAAACATGTCTGTGAGGAAACGAGAGAGAAGCTATACTGTACGTCCCAGTTCATATTCTCTCATCAGCGCGGTATACACTTTCCCCAACGACAGCACAATCTCCAGTGAGAGATGAGCTCTTGTACGGAACATGACCTGCAGGTTTCATCTCCCGTTGAAGTGTTTAGGATGTAGGAGGATTCTTGCTGAGCTGGCTGGCTTACATTTTCTTTGAACTCATTGTGATGTAGGTGGTTATGTCAGTGTCATCACATCCTGAGCAAAGGAATATGCTGTATATTCTTTGGAGTACCATTTTTTTTTTTAAGAAATACCTGTGGCAGACACTTGTGAAATTTAAAAAGATCTGAGAAGAGAAGGATGTGAGTCTGGTGAAAAGTGAGAAATAGCTCCCGGAAATATTTCAATTATGTAGTGAGGACAAGAGAGAGCGGGATTGAGGTGCAGTACCACCCTTCTTGCTAATGAAAGGATGACTCCATTGCTTCTCAGAAGGTCAGGCTTAAAACAGACTCGCTTGGTGTGCTTTGCTAGAGACTTAATCCTATAAACAAATGCGACACGGGCTCCAAAGGCAAACTTTGATGTGCGCTTCAGTAATTAAGTGTGACCTTGTCTCAGGTATCCCCCCGCTAGCTAACTACGGAGGAGTTTCTTTGAGCCTGTGCCACTGTTCTCATCAGTGTGTAGGCGAAACTCCTTATCGACTGATTCTGGCCTTCAGCGCTGCCACAACTCAACTGTGACTCACCTCAGCAGCACAGTCTCAAAGAGCATCAAACTCCCAGGATTTTAAGATGGTGCTATGCCATGTCTGATGGCTTTGTGACTCACAGCTCTAAACATGAAAAAGCCTTCAACTATTTAAAACAACAAAGTTATCTGCAATAAGGGAAAATATACAGTATACATGAACATACATTATTTGGACCATTTCTCATAAGCGGACACAAACCAACATTCCTGGGCTCAGGGGCGAATTTCTCTCACGGCCAGAGAGGCAGAATACTAAATGGAGCGTGGCTATGGAGGATCTGAGCTGGGTTTCAAGTCCTTGACATTTAGCCCATTCATCATAACACGCCACAGTCTGGGCACTGGCTTCACCACAGACGGGGAGGGCAGGGAAGAGAGGGTCTGGCTGGCGATCAATTTGAGCAAATTGGAAATGTCACGGCCTACTCAACCTCGGCAGGGAGCCGGAGGAGCTCTCATCTCCCTGCTGAGTTGCCCTCCAACACCTCTATCCCTATATTCTCTCCACCTCCCTCGCCTCCACCTCTCCAGATGTTTGGTCCAGCCCCCCCACCTGGACACTACCACTTGGCCTTTCCACTGAGGACAGCTGAAAAGTAGCCTGGCTATATTCTGGACTCTATGGAGCCCTGTGGTCAACTCAGTGTTAAGCTTGAAGGATCAGTAAAATACAATACTTAAAGCAGTGAAAATTTACATTTTACAGTTCTCTGCTGAGTTTCAGTGACATTTGTGGATTACACTGAATAACCAGGAGAGCTCACTAGGTGGAGTTCAATGGTCAGATTTGTACAAAAACAAATGTGATGCTGCATAAATTCCAAAACATAGCAGCAGTTTACCTCCAACTGAGAAAAACTGCCTTTTACTCAGTAGAACAATCTGTAAGCCTAAATACAAAATTCAAAAAATTTATTGAGCAATCTTCAAAGGAAATTAAAAATGAGTGGCAGTGACATAAGAGAATTTAGCTCATAAAAATATATAGCGCAGTCCAAAAATATGAAAGGAAGAAGAAGAGAGCGAGGTTGGTAAGCGTGTTGGAGCAGCAGGTCCAGCAGAAGCTCAGAGCGGAGCAGGTGGAGGGTGGAGATGGCGCCGATACCGCCGATGTCTCACTAGAATACTGAGGTAAATGCAGCCAAATGCTCGCTGTAAACATGTAATCAAAACAGAGACGAGTGGAGTTGCCAGCCTGTAGTGATTTCACAGTTTATTGAACGTCAAGTTCAAGTTTAATGAGCACAAAACTGCAACTTCCCGTCCACTCTTTGAGCTTATTCACTATCATTACTCTTCTTCTTTCTTTCTCTTCTTTTATTTATTTATTGTTGACTAAAATATATTTTTATTGAAGTAGTATTTTTAGGTAACTGGATATTTTTGTGTTGCATTCTCTTTTTGTCATATGTCATTGTGATTTCTCTTTTTAAAGGCCCTGAAAACATATTTTTGCAATCAGATTTTTACTAAGATAAAGTCCCACATGGACACAAAGAATCAAGAACAGCATGAGTTATTTCACAAGAGAGACTTCAGTTTTGTCTTTGTTTATCGATGATGGATTTTTTTTTTTGTATTATCTGTGCTTTTCTCACAAGTTTGAGGTGAGTGGGCCATGGTTGGGAGAAGATCATGTACGTCCATGCACCAATATTGTGAACAGAACCGTATGACAGCACAGGGCCGGCCCAAGGCATAAGCGAACTAAGCAGCTGCTTAGGGCCCCGTGACCATGTGTGAGTGATGATGATTCATATATTATCAAATGTACATTCTTGTACAAAAAAACCAAAAAAAACCCATCAACAATATGATGTTAACAGAGTGTAGTTTCCTACTGACTCTCTGCTCGAACTGTCAGAGCTCTGTTAGTAACGTGTGCAGAGCTCCCAACCGTGCCGTGTACACTGAGCATCCAGGAGCTAGGAGCAGGTGAATGATGTCACAATAAAGGACCTAACGTTACCTTCAGGGGCAGAAAAAAGAAAAAGGAAGAAAGAGGAAGAGAAGAAAAAAAGACAAGATAAAGGTATGTCTTGGTAATGTTACATTTGGTGTCAAGGAGATTTTGAAAAGTTCCCTGAAATTAGGAAAGTCCTTAATTATTGTTGATACTTTGTTCCAAATACATTAGCCTATAATAGCAAATTTGCTAGCTAACTTTAGTTCAAAACGTCTTACTACTTATGGGTCGGTTAGATAGCTTACTATTCAAGCCAACGTTTTTGTGTTTGTATAATACTTTGAATAAGTTGATTCTCAGTGTATATATATTATTCTGGGTCGCTTTTTGGCATCAAAACAATGTTTTTGATAAGAACGTTTGATAGCAAATGTTTAATAACTAACGTTAATAACAAACGCGGTGACGTTTGCTGGTAATATGGTTTTGCATAAATGAATTAATTTAGTTAACTTATAGTTTGAGGTATGTTGTTTGCAATTGTTTGCTGCAGAGCACAGTAATTTATGTGAGTAAATAAACATATTTTTTACATCAACTCCCTATTATGCTCATACGTTATATGAAACTTCCCCAGGAGCCCTGTTAAAATATTTTGGAGGAGGCACTGACTCAGCCCAGGGGCAATCCACCACCTCAGGAGCAGCCAAGGTTGATGAATCAGGTGATCAAAAACTGTCACCATATATATTTAATTTCTAGTCAAATTATCTCATTAAGATATAATCATATGACAAGGGACATGTTTTTCATCTCAGGTCCATCTCTATCCTCTGCTCCATCCACTCTGCCAACTGTCCTCTCTGCAACCTCAGCTGTACCTGGTAAGTTAACAACAAAACAGCCTTTAATTGCTCAGTGCACTGCAGTACATACTGAGATGAATATTTTTTCAATATAAGATATAAGATATAATCATATGACAAGGGACATGATTTTAGATAAATCCATATTATTAAAAAACTTCTCAAGCAATTTGCAGTTGTTCCACTGGCAGTTTGTTTTCTTATTACAAGCTATAGCTGTACTTTTTATTTAGAAAATAAGCTGCATCATTTTCAAGTGTAATATGACTATAACATGGCTAGCTTTTGTTTTTGTTGTTTTTCATCTTAGGTCCATCTCTATCCTCTGCTCCATCCACTGTGCCCACTGTCCCTACTGTGTCTTCTGCAACCTCAGCTGTACCTGGTAAGTTAACAACAAAACAGCCTTTATAATTGCTCAGTGTACTGCAGAATATTCTGAGATTAATAATTTTGTCCAAAAATATTATTTTAATTTCCCTATAGGTCCTTCATCTTTGGTCATCGAGATTGATGTGTCTTCTTCAGCATCCAGTTTGGAGCAGGGATCAGCAGCTCCGCCAGTTGAGAAAGGGACTGAACAGGTATTAAGAGGGCCACTGCCTATAAAGGACACATTCACATTCCCAAAAAGACACATGGCAGTAATAGAGGGCCCCAAAATCAAATTTTGCTTAGGGCCCCATGGAGTCTTGGGCCGGCCCTGTGACAGCATGTTGTTTGTTTATAAACTCTGATCAAACCACACCAACCAAGCAGATTAGCTTTTTAGTTAGTTTTTGAGTGTTAAAGGCACACTATGCAAGATTTTTACCTTAATATAACAGTTTCAAAGTCATTTCGATGGTAAACGAACTCGAAGTATAGGGAATCATCCCAATAGCAAAGCAGGAGAGGGATGCAGTTGGCAGAACCAGCAATGCAAGTCTGAAAGGTGGCGTCCCGCCAAATCTCGCGAGAATCTCGAATTGCTTTTACGGCGCGACGTCACATACATCAGCGACATAAGAAGCAGCCTCAATGGAAGACACTAGCAGGCATTCACTCAGACGTTACCTGGTCAGTAGACATCTTCAGAGTCTATCTTTGCCTGTTCAATGTCCGACGCTTCCATCCTACTGAACATGTATACAGGGGGGAGGGGATCAGCCCGTGAGTGCAGAGACACAGAGCTGTATAGAGACGGCTCTGGTGAGTGGTATTTACGACAGTTAACATTAAATACAAGTACTCTGCAGCGACTCTAGGGGTAGCTGTTTGACAAAACCGGAAAACTGCATAGTATGCCTTTAATCACATAATCATATTTTGTTATAGATTTCAAGAGCTTTGTAGATGCTTTTGTGTAAGATTTGAAAATTTCAGCCTAGTCCTAGCGGTAAGACGAAAAAAACCAACACTGGCAGGGAGCAATGTATGTTCGTCACTGTGCGTGTCAGCCTCAAATGCCACACTAAGTACTTTCAAGGCTGCTGTGCTTATAATCTATGTCCACACTCACTTTGCATATGAATGGATGACTGAGAATGGGCTTCAAGTGTGATCTAACAGACTTTGAACAAGTCATGATCATGGCTGCCAGACGACCACTGCCAAAACTGTGAAGTCACTGGGCTTTTTAAAAGCGCAAATGTCAAAGCTGATGGTCCATAACACAGGCCACCTATGTTTGGTAAGAGAGCAGCCCATGGTAGATATAAATGGCAGACATTTGGTGGCTTGGGGCTTAACAAGTTATAACCAGTCCAGAATATGATTCAGCAACACACAAGGGTGCAGTGACCGAACACACATTGGTGGACAGTTGACGACTGGTCAGCTGGTTCCAAATGCACCAACACAGGAACCATCTTACATGATTACAACTTAAGAGGCCAGCGTCGGAGCTGCATACAAGTAGCTTATTTTAGGTCCATTAATATCTGGAGATCGAAGATACGGAGTTCCTAAACCTTTGAATTGCCTGAAATGCTGACATGGTTGTGCAAGATTTATGAGACATATTGACATATTTTAACAAGAAACTGATTAAACAGGTTTGAATTATTGCAGAATTCATATATTCTCAATTTGGTGGTACATGGTACAAATTTGAGAAACCTTGTTATAGATATTTTAATAAAATATAGAATGACTTTTTTGCCATTATTGTAAATGCTTTCTACAGTGCTTTGAATGCACAACATCAGCTAACCGTCTAACAAACTGCTCTCATGCTTGAACAGCATCCAGCCCCCATGATACCTAGCTGAGGCTGCAACCCCACCCAGCAGCACCCCTCACCTGCCTTATGTGCAGTAGCTAATGATACGGGGTGAAGCTAGGACAGAGAAGTCGCCACTAGAGGCCTTCAGCAATGTATAAGTCTGTTTTTGTGCTAGAGATCCAATCTTGCTCAACACTCCCAAATGCACAAACACACAAACAGCATGCACTCAGAGAAGGAGTGCTTGTGGTTGGCTGATTGGGTCCCTGGTGAAGAAAACCTAAGAGTCAGACGTCAGCCACAGAGTGCTCCTTCAGTCGCTCTCCCATCTTCAAATGGGCCATACAAGGTTGTTTTCTACATTCAGACAGGAATGTAAGAGCTAATGCCCAGGATTTGTGTACACACCTTTGAAGGGGTTTGTTGCAAAAATGAGATTTCTTTTGCTTGAAACATCTGACAGCTGCACTTACAAAATTTTAGCATGAAAGCACAAAACTCCCTGTTGCACCCACCATGGGGGCAAACTCTCTGGAAATGACTGAAATTTAGTTGCTTACAGAAAAAAGTGCTGCCATTCTTGCTCTTTTGTCTCAGCATGACTACTGTGTTTCCTGTCTCACATGTAGGTGGCGGACTGCAATTTCCAGAATCTCATCTCGCAGTTTATGTTTTAAAGACTGTGTGCTGTCCTTCAGATGCTTGATGATGGACTTTTTTTGGTGAATGAAATTTGTCATGGTGTTTCCTCATTGACTGTTATTTAGTTCCGCACAGATAAAAATGCATCCCCTTCATTTAGAAGTGAATTGCCAAATCAATTTAAGTTGCTTTTGCTGCTTAAACAACCAAAACCACAGAACAGTGACAGATTATCTAATGAATGAGTGTAATTATTCTATTTTATTTCCATGAAATATTGAGCAATGAATATAAATAAAGATGATCTTGGATAAGTGGATTAAATCCAAGAACGACACGTTTGTTATATATACTAAGGACAGTGAAGCATATGAGGAATGTATCTTACCTATGTGTTTTCCATACATGTGGTAGAAGAAGCCGAAGCAGTAGGCAGGTGGGTTGGTGATACCGTAAGGGTTTTTAGGCGCTACGTTGAAAAACGGACTTACAAGCCGTGCTTGGTCTCCTTCCTTTCGTGGTCTTGATGTCTCAATGTACATGTAGAAACCTTAAAACACAGGGACACAGAAAAACACACATAAAACATATGTATACAGTACATACAGGAGGCTACTACTAGCAGGCAAAATCATCCTAATATACAAAATCTAAAAAATAACAAACAATTCAGATTCTGGAAGTTACAACTTTTTTATATCAGTTTTGTTAACACTGTACTCACCAAGTCAAGGAAAACAAACTGTCAGATCATTATACATGTTGCAAACGAGCTAACACTTTTGCCAGATTATCTTAAACATTTGGAGGCGATCCTAAATTGGAAATAATCCATCACTGCATGTTAGTGTGGATACACTTTAAAGGTAGGTTAAAAAGATAGTTTGTAATGTAGTTGTTTTTACATTTTTTTCTCTTCCAAGTAAGTCTGGCTAAAATGGTGGTTTGTTTAAAACGGTCTGACTGCTCATGTTTCTTGCCCCATTACCACATTCCCAGATCTCTACATTAACCTGGCGAGTACAATGTTATTACTTATGGGACAAACAGTGATGAGACCCACGTTGCAATAAACAAGAATCGTTTTTCATGCAAATGACCCAACAATGTCTACTGTTATACTTGTATGTATGTAGTGGAGTCCAGTATCTTATCTGAATATGCCCTGTGGATATCCTCAGGACACAAGACAAAGTCATTGTGCCTCCCTGGGAAACTGCACAAACAGTGAATGTACCCTTTGATAAATATGAGTGCTTTAGTCGGGCAGTGTCCACAATCCCACGACTACTTTCTGACTGCCTACTGAAACACCAACAAATCTTTTGTCACTGTAAACACTGGGAAAAGCTTGGCTTCTTTGGTCATGCTGAGTTGCTTTTTCAGCAGTCTATGATAGCGTGGTGGAAATGAAACCGTCCATATCAGAGATAAGAAGCAGGCCTTTCTACGAAGGACAGTTCTCCTTTTACTAATAGCTATGACCAGGGGCAAATGGGTACGATAACAATGGGGTTACATTCATGCTCCCTCAGTCATGGACAGCAGCGGTGATGGCAGTGAGTCAAACAGCCCTCTGATTGTGTCTGAGCTGCATAATCTGAAGCCAATCTCTGCCCTGCCACAGGCACAGGGAAGGTACAGTAGCTGGTGAGCAGCTCCACGCCCCTGCAGCCAAAATCAAATGGAATATCTCCCTCAGTTGAATCTCATATCAGATAATTATACGTAAAAAGGAATGGGGCTGGTAATGAAATGCTGGACGTTTTGAAACCATTAGGTGATTAAAGCCAATGCATTATTTACTGCTTCAGCTGCTGCTGGAGCCATAGTACCATAATGGGCACTTTTATTCCACCACAGATACCTTCCTCTGATGGATCCTACAATCTAATTTAGGTAATTCTTTATTTATTAAGTTCTTCAATATGGAATACCTACACATGAAACTAACATACTGAATACTAAACATTATGCAAATGTCTCTGGCTTAGGTACCCTTGGAAACAGCAACAGAGAGTCAGTTACAAGATTATCTTGAAAATAAATGATGAAGGCTGCTCATCGTTAGATTGTGCTGCATCAAGCTATTGGTGACACAATGAGTACAGCTGAAATCATCTATTATGCTGTTGGGAACACTTTCCAACGTATTTCAACATGTCAAAGAAAGGGAACTTTCAGTGTTGCAGTATTGGAAAAAAGGTACAACACATTCATGTTGCAGTGTTTTATAACATGATGATCACACTGTTTGCCTGTGCACTGGGGGGGATTCATGTATTCATGCATGGATTACATATGAAATAACAGAGTGGTGTCCATTTAAATGTGTGCAATCAACCGACTTTTTCTAATCCAATGAGCAGGTGCAGTGTTTTCAGAGCCACACTGACAGCTGGCAAAAATAATCACTTGCACCAACTGTGTTTTTTTTCCCCCTATTGGTGCATAGTTTTGCAATATGATTGCTCAGCTATATAGATAAATCCCCAACTGAGAAATTCAACTGAATAACTTGTCCACCGGTTAGTGAATGTTGAGGTTGTACTGTTACATTACATGTATCTGTCTATATATCTACTCTCTATACGTACATGTTCTTTCTCAGTATCATGAGAGCTGAAGCCATTTCAACATGTGTCATTCAAAAGCACACAGAAACACTGTGAACAGGTCTAACACATAGACACACACTTGCGGTCACTCTCTCTAATGCTGTTGGTGGATCTGACACGTTCATCGTGACAGCTGTAACAAAGCAATCATCTTACTTTTGTAAGAAGATTTGAATGAATGGACATACTGAAGGAGAAACGTTTCTCTGTGCTCACCTTAAATCTCTGCAGTTAACAGTGTATTGTAGAAACTTGAAACATGCAGTGCACATACATACAGTATGTGTACAGTATATTCCTAGATTCCTTTATTTTTGAATGAGGGAAAACAATGTGGAAAACTCATCTCAGACAGGAAATATTATTCAGAGCAGATTATTTTTATGTTTTACTACAACTACTACTACAGTATAATACAGTATAACAAAGAAAATGTAAGATTGGATTATTTCTTTCTAACATAAGACTGACTGGATGCTTACAATAAAAAAAAAAACTTCGATAAACAATAAAAAGGTTCAATTTATGCTTCATTTTTTGTATTTTTAAAAAATGTACAAGGGAAAAGGCTTTGAGGATAAGGACTAACCATGAGTTAGTTTGATAAACCAAATTGAGTTTAACAAAATTAATGTTATCTCGGATAACAAGTGTGGCTGAGTTTGCTGGAGTGTAAACTTCCTCGAACCGCTAACGTTACCCTAAACTCTTGATACAGCAGCATCCAGGAGTGCATTCCACACAGTGTGAAAATACTACACAGTGGATGAACCAATCCTGAATGTAACCTGTTACCCTATAAATAATTACAGTAGTAAGCTTCAAATAAGCTGCTTGGCCTTGGAGGTGATGCTAGGTTACTGCTGTAGGTAGAAATGGGTTAGGGTTAGTTTCTCAAACTACTTACCCTGCTTGGATCCACTGCGGTCACCACTGGGCCCAGTGTTGGGTGTATACTTTGTATCGCGGGTAGCAGCACTGTGCCGTGTCCAATCGAAATCATCATTCTTATCCTGGGTGAACATGCAAATAGGCTCCTCCTCAAAGCTGCAGTGGAACTCTCCTGGTGAGCGACAGAGCAGAACCAGGCTTTTACATTCACTTCATTATAAAAGAGTGAGAAGTTATACACTGCCTGGAAGAGAGAAGAGAGTATGTGTGCGGTGTGACACCTACTGTATATTTATGAGATTTCCTGGAGTGTGTGTATGTGTGTGTGTCTCAGGAGGATATACAACAGCAAAGTCCTAATTACACCGTACGATCCGGTGAAGAGAATTTCTAAATTAAGATGTGACCTCTCACTGACTGTTGTGTAGACGTCACTGAGTGTGTTTGGTTTTTCCCTGACAACGACACACAGTTTAGTTCAGTTCCGTAAGGAAGTCTCTGAAGAGAGAGTACTGCACCCCAAAAACACCCAATGGCAGTGTGTCTGTGTGTATCTGAGAGTGTGTGTCTGTGTGTGTCGGAACTGGTTATTAGAAGCTATACCATGAAAGCCCAGTACTGTGGCATGGTGGATTGCATTTAATAAACACACACCCACACACACTGCCTTAGCAAATGATATTAAAATATAAATCTCCTGTGAAAGAGGATGGAAACACTAAATTGTGATTTTTCTTTAAAGGTATTAATGGTTTTCTAGGAGCTGTTTGACACTGTGGAAGTAGTTTTACATGCATAAAAATCTGTTGAACTGCTAATGATTTTGAAAAACTCTCTTTTTTTCATGATTGAAAGTTAAAATGAGTTGATTGTCCTTGGATGTTTTGTAGTTGAACTCTTTGTAATCAGTTTTTCAAATCAAATGGACACCGCCTCCCTCCTTCTCTATCGCTCTCCATCTTCTCTGGAGTGGGTGTGCAGGTAGAGACATTACCCCCCATCGCCCCTTCTCCTCCATTCCTCTCCACGCCCCTTTGGCTGCAATTTTTAAACTAGTGGAGTGTGTAGGGAGGGAATGAAACTGTAGGTTTCGTCACGCTTCAAGAAAAACATACAAGTAATTGTAAGTCAAGCGTGGGGTTTTGATGGGTCACATGTAGGGGAATGTCTAACACTGAATATACTAATGAATAGTCGGAAATCATATGTGTGGGGAACGAACCCACTCTGTTTAATGAAGGGGTAGCGGCTGGATCAGCAGTGTCAAAACCTCCATTTAATCCATGTAACAAACAAAGCAAAACACCTAACCAGAGGACATAGTGCTGCTGAAAGTGTCCTCAAAGAGATAGTAAAAAGGAGCATTTAGATTCAGGGATGCAGGCATGTGTTCTGATAAATATTCATTGATTTATTAAAACGTAGCTGGGAGCAGTTTGGAGTGGTGACCTTGAGAGGAGCCGAATCCGCAGCTTTAACTCAGGTAATGGAGGTAACATAGACTGAGGTGGAGTGTGGGTGGATGGACTGAGGGAAGGAAGAGGGCAGTGATGCTGCGAGGGAGAGAAAGAGATAGAAAGTGAGAGCAGGAGAGAAAGAAGTGGTGGAGCGGGAGAGCGGAGGAAAGGGCCAGGTTGCAGGCACTCTTGACTGTTCTCCTCATAGGCATGCAGATTTAAATGGAGGTCTAGCTCCCGGCGCTAGACACTAACGCCCCCATCCACTGTGAGCTAAACTAAATGTTTTCGCCTTCTGCGCCCGCGAGAGATAGGAGGATTTGGAGGAGAGGCAGAGGAAGGAGGGAGGAAGAGGAGGCGTGCAGGTAAGACAGTTTCCTTCAGGGATTTGGATAATGATGTTGGTGATTAGGATGTTTGTTATTATGTTGGCAATGTTTGTGTGAACACCCACCAAAATATATATCTATATAAATAAATAAACCTCAATACACAACAGCACACTGCAGCACAGCAAACAATGATTAAGTGTGGATTCTCAAGGCGTGAATAATGTGAATTTGTAAAGTTTCAACAATGAAATGCGTCATAAATGGGACTAAACATTAAAGAATATAAACACATACTGCACAAATACATGCATAAGTAATGCTCACAAAGCACAGAGCGTGCAAATGTACTCATGCACACACACACACACACACACACACACACACACACACACACACACACACACACACACACACACACAGAAAACACATTTCTCATGCAACCACACTCCATCCCTCAAGTCCTCAGAAATTTAAAGCATGTCAAATATCCAGATGCAGGTTTACTCAGAATTCCTAAAGGAAAGTTTTATTTATCATACTTCATTGATTACTACTTAAGAACACTTAGAGAACTCTTCCAGTGCAGTGTGACATGTTGAGAGCCAGATCTCTACGGGATGTACGGTTACTTTGAGTCTCCCCACTGTTCTCACAGACTGTGTTACAACAGAAGGAGCTCGCTCTCTGACAAGACATGCTAAGTGAGGTGCACATTACTTACTCAGGTGAGGGTTGATGGGAGCTGTGAAAGAGAAAAGCCAGGGACAGTCATTAGTACAGAATATCTTGGATGTCTGTCAATATATGAAACACATATTAAACGGAAATGCGCGCAAAGGCACACACAGCTGTACAAGCACTCAAACTATAGCACTTTAAAACAAAAGATTTGGCTGATATGTTTTGTGTGCTCCACTACAGCATACAACACAAGCATGCACACAGTAGCTGTTGCTATTAACCTTTTGTCCTGCTGTCATCTACTGTTTAGGCACAGAGCTAATAAAAGTCTACATGTATAAAACTTGCACACTTTGCTCAGTGTCCTACTGTCATAAAATAAAATGAAAGAGGCCCATGGGAAGGCTGGAAATATTGTCCTGTGATATTAAAACACTGGAAGCATATTAGAGTGTGCACACTCCATCTTTGTCAAGCTGTACCGCTCGCACAGTGTGCAAACAAAAAGAAAAACATGTAACTAAAGAGGAGGCAATCCACCGGCACACACAATGCAATGATTATTGAGCAGACAGAAAAAAGAGATGTCTGGGATTTAAAGTGGAAAAGGTGACAGCAGTCGTTCCCTGCCTGTTATCAAATGTAAAAGACAGAGGGATTAGGAAGACCGGCCTGACCACATTAATAAGCTTATAGCGAAACTGCTTATCATTATTGCCATTTACCGCCATTGCTGATGTTCTTGTTCAAGGTGACTTCCATTTAGAGCACTAAGCCTATTTTATACTTCCATTTAGAAGCCAATAAATCAGAAAAATGAGTAATAATCACAAGCAGTTGTCTGGTAATCACTTTTCTGTAACATCCTTGATTCTTTCTTTGTTTTCAGCACCACCATTATGGGAACTTTTAGATCAAACACTGATGACTTGAGTCCAGTCAAACACATGCAAGACTTCTTTTGCATTCTGTCCACCTAACTGCGGTTCAATGCTTCCCTCATTGATAATTTAAGAGGCTACAGCCGCAGCAAACACAGAAAGGTCAAGGGTATCACACGGAGTTGCAACGAGCCAGTTAGTCGGCACTTCACTTTTTGCAGAGTAAATACCATTTAACCTGTCAAGAAGATTCATGAGCATTTTCATGATCGATTGCTGACCAGCTGAATAGATGCGATACATCAGCTTTACCACAAAACTATGTTGCTGCGTGATTCATGAAACCTTGCTGTTCATGGGGGAAATTGATTTTAATCCAACCAATTAAAGTGAGTAATAACAAATCATTCCTACAAAGGAAAACATGTACTGAAGAGTAGGGAAGTACAACTGGGCCAGAATTGGTCTTTTTAAAAACAGAAACACAAGTAGTGATTTCTGTTTATTGCTGTGTGGTTTGTGGAAATGTATGTCCACTTGTTTACTTGCAGTTTGGAAAAAAGAGGAATAAGCACAGACACACAAACACACACAGAGACCAAACCATTGGATTTCCAATTAAATCATATAAAACATTCAGTGAACTGCAACGCTGCAGCTGAAGCCCCACCATGAGGGGAGCACGAGAGTGGAAAGAAAAGGCATCATACCCTCATTGTATAAAAGCTTTAATTATATTTATGCTGCTCGTTTGTGAAGATACCTCCATTCCAACTGTCGATTTTTTCGGCTGAACCTACTCTGGACTGCACAGAGCGACACTGCTGCAATGAAAGACTCTGCAGAGAGGAAGGAAATCATCCGGGCTGTTGCAGAAAAACATTTTTTAAATGACAACTTACAGTCTCAGGACTGTGAAACGGATGCTGAGTTTTCTGACAAAACTCTGTTCTTTCAGCCCCCCTCCCGCTTGCCAGCCCTTTCCCTCTCAACCTGCTATTTCCTGCACCTCTCCTTACCCCCTCCCAATCCTTCCTGCCGCCCACCTCCTCCCCTCCTTCTTTCTTCCAAGACTGTGTTTATGAAAATATGTTTCGTTGTCAGTTTTTTTTTATTTTTTATTTTTTTTTACCTGCAACCTCCCCAGGCTAGCTCACGGTGCCTTAGTCCAGATGAATGTGTCTGCTCAAGCAATGTCTCTACCCCCGCTGTGGAAATCAAGCTGAGCACAGAGCAGGCCCACAGGCTACTTTACTACTGCTGTGCGTTCACACACTTTCTCTACAACACACACACTGAACAGATAATTTAACTTTCAATTTAGATGACTGTACTGGATATGGGTAAACAATCAAAAAGACATAAAATAAACAAAGTCTGAGATCTATTGTTCACTCAACCATTTAAAATAAACCATTCTTTTCAGAAAGTTTGAATATTTTTGTTGCTCATGAAAACATGAGTGGACCTCAGTCTTCTCAAAATGCACGTTGTTAACGCATAGGTGTGAAAAGCCCTGAAGCAAGCCACAAAGGCTTTCAAAAACATCTTATTTCTTTCTTAATACTGCAGCACTCTGCTTTCCCCTCCAGCTAAAAAAGCCTTTAATAATGATCGAGGATGAAATGTAATTTTGATAGTTCTCAAGATAAACAGTCTCAGTGATCACAGTGTGAAGTAAAGCTCTTTGAAAACTTCTGTTATGACAGGTCATGTCCTCAACATACGCATTAGGTGCATGTCTGACTTTTTTTACTTTTCCAACTGAGAGGACAAAACAAACTGCTGGTTGATGCATGAGTGCCTTCCATCCAAATTGCCTAATTTTGATTGAAACACATAGTGAGCTCACTGACCGCCAAAGGACAGCAGTCCGTAGAGGCCATTCCAGATACAAACACTGACTTCATCTTGGCAGGATTCCCTGCTCACTGGCTTGCGGCTGTATTACAAAGCAGCAGACGATTCGATGGCTGCAGCCAAGTGTCCTCACAGACAACAGCAGCCCAGCTTCTTTTTTTTTTACTGACCTCATATAATCCACGCTCTCCAAGATTCCCATCCATCATGTTTAGGGGGTCTGGGTGGGTGCCATAACGTTCTGAGAAAGTCTTGTCAGAGCTTCACAGCTCCAACCATCAGTTGGAATAATAACAGTGTGGACAAATGTAATTCGGCAATCTTCCCCTCATGTCCTCCTGACAAAGATAACACGAATGACATCACGCTATTGTGTGCTTCAATCAGAGGATGGAACTGCTCTGTACTGGTCCTGCAATAACACATACAGACCCATGGACACAGCCAACCCATGTCAAGTAATTTCCTATGAGTTATCCTGCTCTTGCATCAGTGTGCGTGTGACACATTGATGCAAGTGATTCCTTAATGGACTTCCACATGGATTAGCTTTGCTGTCGTTTAAATAGTAAGTAGTGGATTGTTTGGGGGTAAAAAAAGTGCTTTCTTTCTTAATGAGAGTTAGATGACAAGTTTGATACCACTGTCATGTCTATTCATTAAACATGAAGCTGGAGCCAACAGCTGGTTAGCTCAGCTTAGCACAAAGACTTGTATAAAGAGGAAACAGCTAGTCTGACTCTGTCCTCAGGAACCCTACGCTGCAAGCTTAAGGCCCAAGTATGAAAAATAAAATAAAATACTTTTAAAAACTGTGTTTCTCTGAGTTCTCAGGTAAATAAAAAGTTGAGACCAAGACTAAAAAAGAGCTCAGACAAGGATTACACTGAACCACCACTGGCGGCAGGCGATAGAAATCACCAGAAGCAGAAGACTGTATTTAATGTAAGATTTAGTGGGTTTTGACTTTAGGACAGGCATCTTACTGTTTATGTCACTATAAGCTGCATAAAAATGGGAAATTAAGAAATAGCAGCAGTGTTTTACCGTGCCACTGTGAGGGCTGACAGGAGGTTTAAACATTAAATCCTTCGTCTTGGAGGAAACCAGAGAGAGAGAGAAGTGTTACGAGGAACATCAAACAGATGCCGAGTTTGTCACTGCAGCAAAATTCAAAAGTGTGTCTTTGGAGCTTGGTGACACAACCATCCTTCATCCTACAGCTGGGGACACTATAACCGCTATTGTGTTTTCTTGCCAACTCACAGAAAAGCTGCTACCATCGGCTTTATGTACATCAGAATGATCACTTGGCCAATGATGAGCAAACTCGCTCATACTTAGATTTCAGAAGCCTTATGTTAAAATGTCAAAGTAGGACAGTAATGTTTATATTACCAGCTGACAAACAGGCTAATAGTCATATTTCTTTGGTTAGTTGTTTGTTTCTGCACCACACACACATTTTCAGGGTCACGAGGAGCTCTAGTAAAAGGCAGGAAGCACAGTGTTCGGCATTGCACGGTAAGCATACAGACGTAAATACAAGGGCAAACACAGAGACAGATACTCCTGTTCACTGAGGGTTATTTGGAGACTCCTAACCTGTATGTGTTTTTGATTGTTGGCGGAAACCAAAGCAAGTAGGGGGTAAATGTGCAAACTCCACACTATAAGAAGCAGGGCTAAAGGTGAATTCAAGCTCACAAGATCTTGCTGTGAGCACCAGCTCTAACCACTGTAGAAAACCATCACAAACTGTCACAAACTTTCTTTCATACTCAAAACAAACTTGTTTTTTGAGTATGAAAGAAAGTAAAGATAAAAAAAGACAAACAACATATATATATATATACCTATTGCAAAAGTACAGTATATACTGGACTGGTGGGGTGGGTTGTGTACTTTTTCAGCATATAAAAAAAACAAAACTACACAATATTTGAGTGCCAGCCTTTTTTTTTTTTTTTTGAGCACAGAATCATACAAAACCTCAAACAAGACCATGTCCTTGTGTGGAAATCTTAAAAACGCCAGCTGGGTTACTGTGGCATGTTAACAGCTTGTCCAGGTTTCTGACCACTGTCTGCTATCTGTACAAGTGTGCCTTCGGCTCAAGTGACAACGAATCAAGTCAAAAAGACTCAAAGAAGCAGCAGAAGGTTTTGGCTTTTGGAGAAACAAGCAGTGTGTCCCAATTCCAAACTACATATTAATTGTATATTTAGAATATACTAAATATGAATAGTTTTAGTATACTGTTTCTACTGTTAGTATGCAACAAACACTTTAATTCTAAAAGGAAATGATACAATTGCATTGCAGTTACAATCTTGATTCATATTTGATCAGCACTGCCTAGTTTGACAGTTTGATCTCAGTTTTGTGCATTGAGCTTTATTTATTGTGCTTTATTATCTATTTTACTCTACATGGGACCATAATTTACTAAATAAAAATCCTGCCGTATTGAAGAAGACTTGAAACTAGAGATTGTGACCATGAGCTTAGTAGGAAACTGTTTTGTAAGATAATAACTTAGGGTCATTTCTCCATAAGACTCGATACTATCAGAAGACTTTTTTTTGTTACCAATGGAGCTGCCACCTGCTGGCCATTAGAAAAAAATACAGGTTTAAGACACTTCCCTACTGGCTTCCCTTTTACAGACCCAAAAGCTCTGTCCAGTAATATAGTGTCAATGGTAAACATGCTACATACTCAAAACCTGCTGAGTAGTATGTATCTGGGACACAAGTAAAGAAACTGAGTTTGCATTAATTCAGAGAGCACATTTAAGAAGGGTTTGCATTAGCTGCATCAGCTGCTTTAGTTATACTTCACATTCACTGCCTCATTCAGCAGATGCATGCCTACCAGCTGACTAGTAACATCCAGTCATATCCATTCAGGTGTACAGCGCAGTCATTATAACATGTCGCTTCTCACTATTACTCTTTTTAATCCTTGGCACTCATTCCAACATTGTTTTACTGCTGCAGGTCCTCTACCTCAACCTTCTAATAATGTTCACGTATTTGTTTATAAAGGGTGGTTTCGTTCTCCCAGCAGTCCTTGTTGCCGCTCAGATTGTTTGAGAGCTCCCTCAAACAGCAGTACTTCCTGCCAAATTCAGCTGCAAAACCATTTGCAATAAATTGTCAGTTCTTTGACGCAAGTGTCTCTGACTCAAACAGAAGTTTGCCTGTTAGCAATGAAAGTGCTAAATATAGGTGTCTCAGTAAATAATCAAAACAAGATAAGTGTCTCAGCTCCACAGCCAAAGACAAGAATAACTGGATTACTCTTTCTGCCAAGAAATATTACATTATATTTATATAACCAGAGATAATATAGGAGCGCATATAACACACACATTAATTTCAGTTAACCATAAACTGGTAAAACTATAAAATCCTTGTGCTACAACTTGTATATACACACACACCCAACTGGTACTTGTTCCCCAGTGAGAGTGAAAGAGAAGCGATAACGGAGATGATCACGAACTGTATTCCACATGTCAGTCAGGACGTCTTACGGGACACGTTCTCTGAGCAGAGTGGATTCTGCTCAGACCTACATTAGGCTGCTACAGTGACGCTATGCTGTGCGTGGGAGAACAGAGCAGCCCTAGAGTGATAATTAGTCCAGTCTCTTGTTGGGCAGCCGATTCACACATCAGCATTGGCTCTCTTCTTTCCTTTTTCTTTTCTTTTTTTTTTTGTTTAACTTTGTTCCTCTGTATCTTCTTTTTTTTCCTCAGCCCCAACTTGGCTGCCTCCATCTCTCCTTCTGTGCATCTCTCTCTGTCTTAATTAGCCTCAATTCTCTTCACTTCACTTTGATTGGATTCAATTTGATTCAATTCAGTAGAATTCAACTCAAGGTTTAGCAGAACCAAACAATATCGCATACTACAAAACTTACAGCAGAGAAAGTTGATCTGTTTCTTTTTCTTGCTCCCTTTCCCAATTCGCTTTTTTACCAGCTATGATGAGCTGCAGTGAAACTGAATAATTCACAACTGCAGCAGCAACATTCAAGAAGACCTCAGCAGTCAGTGATAGACAGAAAACAGTCAGCCAGTTTGTTTCTGAAAATGCTCATCTCAAGTACCTGTGCATCTGTTCACTGACACTGCTGGGCCTACTGTGGATACTAATGTAGCTTTTGTATATCAGCCAGTACGTCGTCCCACAGGCTGAAGAATGTACCTACCTTTGCAAGCTGCTATTTCATATTGCAGAGAAATACACTGTGTTTTGATGTATTCTTACTTCATGATGTCCTTCTGGCTGCTATTCTATTACTATAGTCTTGTTTCAAAGCCTACAACCAAATTTAACAACATGACAGCAGTAAACAGTGTCTGGTTCTGGGTAAATCACAGTATGCTTATATTTTGTAAGAGGAGCCATCTGGGGCTTGGCAAGACCTTTCAAAAGATTTGTAATATAAAATCAAAACATTTGTTATATTAAAAAAATCCCAGGAGACAGATCACATCTTCTGGCACAAAGATGAGAAGAAATCCCACACAAAAAATACATTGTTTTGGGGGAAACTGAGTAAAGCAAAGCATGACTCATCCATGACCAGCTCTGTTTGGCCTTGTGACCCAAACTAAATGTTTGAGTCATCTGATGCATCGTGTCATGGTGATCTCTCATGCACAGAAACAACAACCTGACAGACTCGACTCAAGCAATAAAAGTCACGAGGAAGTGATGATTAGTCAGTTGATCAGCATTCATTCAAACTGGCAAAGAAGCCAAGCAAGCTGATTTCAAGCTGTCTCCTAATGACTGAATGTGTTAGATGCAATTCAAATTATTTTAATGACTTCACTTTTTCCTCATACATATCATAAATAATACATCATCATCATCATCACCGTGATTGTAACGACTGGTGATACCAGAATGAACCTTTGATATCCATCAGTGCTGATGAACATGTATCATGATACAGCAGCATTTACTCTAGCTGGAGTTAATTTAAGAGTTTTTCTGAGTTAGCTGAAGGATAACATTACCAGCTGTAACTGAAATTCTTCCACCTGTGTAACCACATCTGTAAGCAGAAGATTAAAGTGAATCTGGCTCTCCTGTGTCTCTCCTACTCGGTTTTTCTACATATTTTCCAAACATGGAAACATTAAAATACTGCAGGATGAGTAGATTTATCTCTGTTCTCCAAAAAGACATCCCTAGAGTTAATATTTAGCACTCACCGCTGTATGTGACAATCCGGATGGTGGAGTCACCCTCTCCAAAACGTGTGATTGGGGTAAGGCGCACCTCATAGGATTCAGGCTTTATGAGCTGTGTTAGGTTGTGTGTCATGAGCTCTCCTTTGTTGATTGTTCCATCCACAGGGATCTCCTGCTCCCACCAGCGCTCTAACCCCATCTGGATGGAAAAAGGACCCACAAAAGGTTCAGATTATTAGAAACAAATTCAGTTTCTTCCCCTACATACAGAAACACACATTTCTGACATTTTATTCATAATCTAAAGCAATTGGCCCAGCTTCCTGCTTAAGAAGCTGTCAGCACTAGGTTTTCATCCATCAGAATTTAAATATGAATTCATACTCATTACCATAGTTTTCACAAATTTTAGGTTCAAGGTTATCCTATAAGCCATAAGTCAACCTATGGCATGTGGAGCCCCACAGGGAGCTGTTTTGGCCCCCCTACTGTTTTTATTATATGTGAATGTTTTTTTTGGTTTCACACAAGAATGAAAACACACTAAAGACAATCTTAATTGAGGTATTCAGTAGGATCGAGAAATAAAATGTGTCATTTATGTGGATTTAATCCTAGCTAAGCAAGTTTGACCACTATTGTCCCAGAGATGGTTTCCTGCCAAACCCTCTGTTGAGACAACCTAACTAGGTTTTTGGCTAGAACAGCTAAATGATAAAAGAAGTGTAACACTGTTGGCTTATTCTCTTGTTTTGAGTTGCTTTGATCAATCACTCTGTTCAGGAAATAAAAAAGAAAAACACCTCAAGTTAAGTACAGATCTTTCAGTACAGGTTAGTCAGGGCACATGGTGGCAAACAGCACTACCAACAGCTTGGGTGGTCACCCTTGAAGGAGAAAGTCGTACACCTGAGGTGACATGAGGTACATAATGACAACAGAGCCTGTGAGCATCTTAAAGTCCACCTTTGTAGAGTTGGAAGAACTTAAGCCCACCAGACTAGAGCTTGCAGAGGTTTAATACCAACATGGTATTAAAGCTCCTTTAGGTTCTGTGTTGGTAGGAATTTGAATTAAGTCTGCACACAAGTAATTTTTATAAAGCAGCTATTGTATATTGTTTATCAACTGTATCACCTGACTACTTGTATGTGAAAGGGATCATTTATATCACCCAGTTTCCTCAGCTCTACAAAGATTTATAGCAACTTTCAACTTAGTGTTTTGGTTTTACAGCCCACAACTTTACTGTTTTGGTTCAGGCTCAGCGCTTTATTCAGTGGCATTTTTGGCTGTACCAGGCAGCTTTTTCAACACGAAAGCTCTAAAAAACAATGGCACACTACCAGCCCAGCACCAAAAGGCAGACAGGCGCATTTATCATCAAGCCGGTGAACACAGTGAAGCATTTAGCTGCTACAGAGCCAGATATTTCACTCAGGAATTGGTTGAGACCAAAAACAGAGCTAAAAGTAGAGTGACTATAGGACTTACGTTTGCCAGGTGGCCCGAAACCTGAAGGATGTCCAAGAACTAGAACTACTGTGTCTTTGCTATCATTATATCAAGAACTATACTGAGAATAAGTCTTGGTCTTAATAATAATTAACAGAACAGCATTCATGGAAAGTATTAAGTGAGAACATGGAGAACACTGATTGTTGCAAGTATATGAAAACTACGGAGCCCCCCTGAAGCACATGCACAGTACTAATTTTTTTTCTACATTACAGTAGTAATGGACATTCTTAGAGGGGTTTGCTCCAAGGAAAATATTGTGTACATGACCACAACAAATATGTTTTCCCTTCACCATCAGTGTAAGATGTTCCATCTCATCTGCCAATTAACCCTGCCTATAGGCATTTGTATGATCTACCAACATAAAATGTTACACAACAAAAGCATTTTTTTCTTTGTAAGCTTTTGACAGCTAGCTGCTCATTAGCCACATTTACTTTCAAAGTAGCTTCCAGCCTCTGAATTCAAAGACTGCCATTAGCAAGCAGCAGAGATATTCTTATATCTGCTGAGGGAAAAAAACCCTGATTCATTTTCCCATTAAGGATATGCTTCAGTCTGCATTACTCTACTTGGAATACAGGCATTTTGCGAGTACAGTTAAACACATTTGTGCTCTAATCATGCTCTACAATGTTTTGCTATACCTTTCCATGGAGACCTTGAACTGACAGGAATCTAATATCTCGTCCTTGCGCAATGTTGAGCAGACAAGTGTACCTGTCTTTAGGTTTCTAAGCTTGGGTATCACACAAAAATTAGCTCATGCTTTTCATGTCTTCTGATACAATACAGCCCCTCGGAAATTCAAAGAAACAAAACGAGGGCTTGTTGCTGCATTTGCTGGGGGCAAAGAGAAGAGAAGTAGGGTACATTTTATCCTTGAGAATCAGTTTAAGGGGAAGAGCTGCACAAAGACAAGTTACAGCTTCTGCATCACAATTAGTGACTTTACATGCCCTTCTCACTCAAAGGAAAAGAGGAAGTGTGTTACCAGCAGGAGAGACAGAGAGAGTGAATGAAGGTGTGATAGCAGTGAAGCAGAGTCAGTGTGTGTATGTCTGTGAGAACAATACCAATTAAGTAATTACTTAGAGCCTGGATGATCCACAATTATGGGGTGCAAGTTTTCATCACCATTAGTTTGCAGGTAAATAGAGTGTTGTGTCTGCCACTGGTAATTGTAGATGGAGCACTTGTCCCTACCTATCCTTTGAAAATTTAAGCTATCCTCTAAGTACAAAAGGCATGGCAGTTAATTGCCATAAATTACACAGTGCTGGCCTGTAAGTATATGTGTGTTTGTGTGTGTGTGTGTGTGTGTGTGTGTGTGTGTGTGTGTGTGTGTGTGGACAATCTAAAAAAAAGGATGTAGCATTTGAGAACATTCAAAGAGTGAAAACAACCTTTCTATGAAAATGGTGACAAAAAAGTACATGCGTCATTTCCAGCTGGAGATAAACAGATGTATTAAAAAAATGACACATCCTGTTCATAATTGGCAGTCTGGGTAATGTCTGTAGATTGGCGGTGAGGGCTTTGCAGATGCAGCAATAGGCAGTTGCAAGGGTCAGAAGTTACACACATGACAAACTACAGTGGAGCTAATGTACATGTGCATTAAAACAACTAATACTGATCTATCAATCTGTGTCGACCATTTAATCCACCTGTCCAAATTAATATGTTTTAAGGAGTGGTATTGTCAAGGACAAAAGTCTTGGCAGTGTATGTGGGTCATACCTACATTATTTCTGACCATGGTAATCTGCTTTAAAAATCCGCCACAAAACAGATGAAATCTCAACCTATTTTAATTTCTTCCTATAATTTAACCCATTTGACATCATAACATCTGGTTAGGTCCTCATTATGTGCTGTATTTTTGGCACTGTTGATTTGACTGAGATTTATGTTTATGTATTTGTTCAGTAAGAAGGAATCTCTCAACAGATTGCAGCAGATTCTCCCTCAAACAGCAGCAGCCTCTTGTCCACCAAATCGAACTGTATAACCCTTTGTGTAAAAAAGGTCAATGCTTTGGCGCATCTGTAACTGAAATTTGGCTAGGTTAGTTTATACTAAAAAAATTGCAGATGTTTGAATGAAGCTAAAATATGAATGCAATACCTGTATGAAATGTGGATTGAATATTTGTCAGTGGCAAAGTTAAGCTCTGATGAGAAAACCACTCTGTGAAATTGTATATGTAAAATTCATAAAATATTTTATTACTTTAGTGTCATAGAAAGCCCTGTATAGGTCTCAGAGAAAAGGAAAATCATTTTGAATGTATTTGATGCCAGATCGTCAAAGACCCTGTTGAGTTACATTGAGGATAAGAATGTCGTGGGGTTTGTATCTTACCTCATTACTATTCCCAAGTTCCCAAACCATATTGCTTTCTTTACTGTATGTTTAGGTGGTTGTATAATGCCATGAGCATAAATAAAAGTAATAATACGTGTGTGTGTGTGTGTGTGTGTGTGTGTGTGTGTGTGTGTGTGTGCCCAAAGCTCGAGGCAGATGGAGGTCTTGGCAAATGCTGCCTCAATCTCCAAACAACAATCGGAAGCAAATAGTTAAATTTTTTCCATATCAAAAAGGAATTGTGCTTAAATGTGCAAATCAAATCAAACTTGAGACTGTGATTGAGAAAAACATTTAACTTTTCAAACGCTGAATCATACACATACTTATTGGCTTATGGATTTTGCACCTTTGTTTTGATTCCCATTAATGTTCACTGAATCACCGCATCCGTGCTCAATTAAGATTTCTGTTTACATCCCATTGCCTTTCATTCTCCACATTTTCCCCACAGAGGCAAAGTGCCATATCGATTTAATTTAATTTGATTGCAGCAGTAGTTCATGCAGTTTTTATGGCAACTTAAAAAAAAAAAAACTGCGGGATTGATCAAAGCAATAGCAGGAGCCAAAAGAAACATGGGAATAATCAAAGTGACGGTGTAATGTTAGACTAGTGCTGATCTACTGTAGATTGCCTGCGTGTAATTAGTATGGCTCCTATTGATCTGCTCGCACACTCTGACTTGACAGATCAATTGAAAAAGACGAAAGAGGAGGAGGGGAAGAAGGAAGAGATGGAAGAAGCAGTTCCAAGATGACAAGATGTAGATTGAAAAAGTTATCTTACAGGGGTTGGAGATGGGCAATCAAGCTTGTGGACAGCAGAGAAGGTTCTGAAGTAGCCGGCTACAGTATCAAAACAAGGGCAGATGTCACACCTTCCCATTGCATCCTTGACAGGTGCAGTGATTTGTGTTTTGTGATTCTCGTCCATGCATGCCTTTCAACTAGAGCTTCATTCCCATTGCCCCATAAGCCAGACTGTCTCTCACGAGCGTACTGGACAATAAAAAAATGAAATCCATTATAGAGGCATAAGGTCTACTAGCTCCAAGTATTAATTCAAACGTACGGAGAGAAAATGATAATAATTCCGAGGGAATGGCAGGGGAGCTGCTGCTGGATCTATAAATAGATCGAAGTGGTTTAGTGCACGTGCCGAAGCTGCACCACTCTTTCACAGTCAGTCCGTGGATAACTCTGCATTTATTTATTTACTGAAAGGAGCCTCTCCTCCTACTCATTTCTCTCTTCTTCTCTCTCATTTCTTTCTCATTGCCTTCACTTTTTTTTTTTTTTTTTTAACTCTTTCTGGTTCTCTTCCCCACCAAAAGATGTTTGCATTATCAGTCTAAATAAACCTGAAACTCAATCAATCAGAGGGTGTACTGTATTGTTAATCCTAAGAAAAAGTCTGTGAATTTCCCCTACAGCAAATAATCTCTTTCATCTGCGACAATGGAAGATTGGTTGCTATGCCTCGCAGGAAGGAAATAATGGTCACAAAATGTACCCTCTTGAGATATCAAGGCAAGAAGGTGGAAATAAATTAATTTGCTCAAACAGTGATTGTCTGCTAAAATAGACTGGGATAGTGATGTTCCTTTTAATAAACAAATGCAGAAAAGGTTGGAAATGCTAATGTGATTTCTGAATTACTGTGGCTTCGTTCTAGCACAGATGCTGACATTATAATCTTTTAAAAAACTGTGCGCGGGACCAGCTGAAAATAGGAAAAGCAAATGTATATTCCTGGCAAGTTTTCTGACAAACGCCTGGCAAGCGCAAACATGGGCGCTGTAAGCACAACATTATTTATTACCAAACAGACCAACTGAGATAGTTGACAGAAAAATCATTGCGCTACACAAACATAACTGGTTTAGAATGTGTTTTCAAGCTTCAATTCCTTGAGGGTGTAGTGTGAAACAAACATGAAATTATATTATTTATTGCAAACACAACTGTCAGGGTATGCTCGCTAATTCTGAGCAGAGCTGAGATGGATTTAGCATTGCAGCATGTGCTATTTTTTTTTATATATATATGCTGTTTTTTTTCTCCTCCCGAATGGCGGCTCCGTGCTGCAACGCAAAGGCAATGTTAATCTCACAATCTGTGGTGTTAATGGAGCTAGTTCGCTATTTCTGACACTTCATGTGAACTGAAGGTGGTGCCAAACCTGCTGATGTAAATGAAAAAGTATAAAGACCAAATGTGCTTCACACTGCCATGACAGGGGGGAGAGAGAGAGAGAGAGAGAGAGAGAGAGAGAGAGAGAGAGAGAGAGAGAGAGAGGAAGGTGCACATTGATTGCCAGAGAAAGAAAATGTAACCATGCCATCCATCAATGCTGCAAGCCTGTCATCTGTGGAGTTTACTTGAGAAGCAGGGAAAAGGGGAGCTATGCTTGCTCTTTCTCTCTGTGGGGTTCCCCTCCTCTCCTCTGACTGAGCTTCTGATGGAGAGCGAAAACAGAAGCAATTCGTGGAAACCACAGAACTCATTGAAGCGACTGCCCCTGACAGGTTCTTAGTCATCCTGCCCGGCCCACAGAGGCTCATTCACTTCCTCAAAAACTGCAGAATAAGACAGACAATGAATCGAAGGCGTAAGATTTGGCGCTGTCAAATGGAATACAACAAGCAAGAGCAAGCTGTGCAAACACTTCCATCACATTCTTCAATTGGCAACAAAAAAAGGTTTTTACTGCCCTGTGGCACAAAACGACTCTAATTCATTTAGGAAAGGCCGACAAGAGGCTGACCAATACCAATGACTTAACTATAATTGTACCAGAAGCCAACATTTCTGGTTTTAAAACCTCATGTTCTGGCTGTAACAAAAGCTTCCTGAGAACAGAGTTCTATGGGACTGAATAACACTTTTCATTACAACAAGCATTTAAATGACGCACACATAGGTTACACAGAGAAAAAGAGAAAATCAGCAGGCAGGGGAGTGAGTGCTCAGATAGACAACTCTTAGGAAGTCATTCTACCTGTCTGATGCCTAGTCTGTAGGCGACAATGCGGTCCACAGCGTTAGGGTTCATCTGGGTCCATTGGAGCTTGAAGCTGTAGAGTCTGGGCCTGTTCTGCCACAGAGGGCTGTAGGTATCATAGTAGAACTCTGGTGGGTAGGCCTTGCCTGGAGAGAAAGCAGATCATAATGCTTAATGCTTTAATGATTACTTAAATTGAAAAAAACAAAAGTCTACAAACCAAGGGTGTCTGTAACTCACGCTATCCTACAAAATTCCCAGAACTGTATTAAAGGGCCATTACAGCAATTTAGTATTGCTCCTGTGACAGAAATAATAAAAAACGACATCATCAGGGTTACTTTTCCAAACTTTCCAAAGCTTCCTGCAGAGCCACAGCTCCAGGCTATATAGGCAGTAACAGAGTCCTGCAGATGTGCCTTCAGACATAACATTATCCAGTTTGTTCATTCAGTGTCTGCTCATAATAACTGTTTATTGATTCACTCTTATTTTAAACACAGAGTGCATGGATGGAATATTTTGTTTAAAGGTGAATGGAGCATTATGTGATGCTTTTTCATATAATGAATGAATGATATTCAGGACCACTTGTGCACAGTGATTACACCTGTAAAGTTGCTGTTACTGTACAGAAACACTTTATAACCTGAGACTTGACTTTTCCTCGTTATTTTGTCAGCATGCGACAGCAAGTGCTACATTACCACTTTTACTTTAGAGCTAGATTATCTTGAACACATTCAGATAAACGCCAAACTGTCAGGCATACCATGACATGATGGAGAGATGCTAAACGTGGAAAGGCCTGCCAATGACTGGAATAATTTTTTATTGGTGGCCTTAAAACAAAAACAAATATATAATAGATAGAAAGATATTGTGCTGCTGTGAAGACTTACAGTCCCATGACAGCAGTGCCAGTGTCTCACAGTACCTATAGAACTCATTCGTGTATGTTTTTGCCTAATGAACACACTGACACATTTAGAGAGTGAATCTTATGGCACTTTTGGAAAAAATGCTGAAAGTATTTGCATGAAAAAAGTACTTGCTTTTAGTTTGAAGAGTCAGTGTAATAAGGGCTGTGTTATTATTAAATGAAATAGATGCATCATTTTTGAAACTTGTTATTATTCTGAGGCACTGTGCAGGCATTCTTTTACACTATACTCGAGTGTAAATGTAAACTTGTAAATGTTTCATTTGTTAACATAGAGACTTCTTTAAGGCAAAAAAGAGTGCTGAATTAGCATGACAAAGATGTGCACTGTCTTTTATCTTCACTGTGTTCCATTTGTTCTATTTTTATCCACCCTATATGATATTCCTTGTTGTCGCCATGACCGCATTTTTCCTGAAGGATCATTAAAGTTTCATCATATGTTTCGTGACATATAGCACTTTCATGGCAATTAATCAAAGCTTGTACCAGATTGTAGTATGTCTCATGACTGTAGCTACATGCTGAAGTATAGATCCTATGTGCTAGATGACTGCACACTTCCCTCCACAGTGACCTTTTTTTCATACAACTGGATCCAGACTACCACAGAGATCCTCTCAAACCTTTTCTTTCAATAACACAGTTGGTTGGAACCTCTGAGGATTTATTTTTCTACAGCAATTGTGGCATTAACTGAATGAATCTTTTAAGTTTTCAGCTTCCCAGTCACAGTCTGTGAGCTGATTTCTGACAGCTGTAGTAGGAGCTGGCAGAACACTATTTTAATTAAGATCTAGAAACACGCTTACAGGATGACCTTCCAGGCAAAGAATAGTAATTCACCCCCTGTCCCTGTGCTATTTGGGCTTGTTTATTGAAGGATGACAATACCCAAGGCAGATAATTTTTAATAACCCTGGAAAAGACAGTAGAGCAGCCATTGTTAGCTCAAACAAAAGCAGCACTGGGATTTGATGCACCCGTGTGGAGATGCAGTGAGTAGTTGATGTATGTCAGGCAATTGGATAAACCTGTCAAGTTAGTTTATGTTATTGATTAATTATAATGGCGTTATTTTCCTAAGTAATTTTAGTGGTCTCCTGGGTCTCTCCCTGTGGGCTCCTTTGTGTGAGCGGATCCTTGAACCATTTTGTTTCCCTTGATTTGATTTTACTCTGGAGGAAATAAACTGTGACTTGGGAGTTTGTGAAGGCCATAAGTTCAAAAGGTTACAGGTGTAGCTTCAATGCCCTTCTTACAGTAACACAGTAGGGTAGTGGTTCTTAAAGCTTGATCTGAATATTGTAAAAACATATGTTGTCTTGAGACATTATGCAAATGACAAGAAACAAGGATAGGACTTGTTAAACCAGCATTTAAAATGTTAAAATTCTGAAGGGGAATCAATTTATTCGGAAAATGGAATTGCACCAATTAGTAGACCTGCCTTGCATGGGACTGTTTCCTTATAGCATGGACACAGCACAGCATGCCTGCGTGTGTGATGGATGCCTCGCTAAACTGCTGCAGCTCGCACACCTGTGGTTTCTGTGCACAGAAACACTGGAAAGCTTAATCTAAAATAGATAAACGAAGTGTTGATTTAAAAAAATATTTTAAATATTTTTTTTCATGTCTATGACATATTCTACAGACAGACATGGAAACTGTAGTGAAATGTGTTGCTGGTATAATGTCAATACGATTATGAACATATCATTTTCACTGTCAGTTTTTGCTGGGAACCATGTGTGGCTCTTGGAGAAAATAGGCGAGATCTCTACTATCTAGTGTGGCTAAGTGTGGCTGCAGATGTGTCTGAGACTTGCGTTATTTTACTGTGTCATTTCCCCAAATTTCAGACCTGTCTTTCTTTGCTTCTGTTTTGTAAAAACCCACTTTAATCTTCTACTCAACCTGATTTCTCCATCTTCATCTTTCTGTTTGGCGCTAGCTAAATCCTGGGACCTGCAGTTTATTTTTTGATCATCTGCTCCCGCCCAGAGCAAAGTCAAAACTGCCCTCTCCTGTGAGACTTGCATTGGGTCAAATCCAATTTGTGCTAATTTGTGCCGTTGACCAATAGCAAACCATCTTGCCAGCACTGGTATTTGAGGGAACTGAGAGCTCGAGGGTAAAAAATGGATGAAGAAAATCTTATCATGGCCTATTAGCTGTGCTGCAACATCCACTTTTATTCAACCTCCTCTATCAGAGGATAAACTGCTCCACAAAAAAAGCATGGCTTGCAGACAGTTATGAGACAGGAATCAATGGTACAAATGTGTCTTTTGAATAAATAAAATAAAGACCAAGACCAACAGTAAATTCTACTTTCATGCTTTGGCTGCTTAGCCAAAGTGAGACACTGCTTCTGTAGTTTGTTTTGAGCTGATCCCACACACCAAAAAGTGTTTTAATCCTCAGCTGAATATATTTCCCAAAAAACACACAATTTATTCCCGTTTGAGTAACATTTGCAAGATGCTGCAGTGTCCAGCTGTTTTAGAAATATACCAATCCGTATCTTTCGTTCTCTGACTGGTTTGATCAAGCCTCATAATCATCCGTGAAAATATCTCAAAATCAACAGTGAGGGCATTTTGTTCTTCATTTTAGAAAATAAATCAGGTTAATGATGCTTTGGCCAGCCTACTGCAGATCACTTGGCCTTTACATGGATAAAGCTATTTAAAATACAATATTATAATCTGAGGCAAAGGAAAACTCATTCATCAGCCAGATAAAATCATTTAGAGAGAGAAAAACAAGCAAAAGCTAGAGAAATACTGTTAATAATTAAACAATGTAATTTATTTTTTTATGTTTTGCCTTTTCGTGTAGGAACTACATCTCACAAGGTTAAGATATTTAAGGCATCGTCAGTCTACTGCAAGTTTTTCTTTCTGTTTTATAACTCAAGATGCAATCACGCAACCTCTATGGCTCACCAAGATGCTAATGCAACAAAAAAAAATGCAGAGACAAAAACTTTATGCACTTCACTTGGCAGTGTTTCTCTGTATAGAGCCAGCTGTGTTTACAGCATACTGTAGAGTAAATGTTACATAAGGCAGCCTGGCAGATACTGTCAGTTTTGTTCATGCAGTTTATATTTTACAGTAAGAATGGTGGAATGGATAATGAAACTGGCTCATATCAGTTTATGTTTTTCTAAGTTGTTTTTTTAAAGATTCCCACACAGTCTCTTTTTTAAGAACACATGACTCAAAGGACTGTATTCATACAAGTGCACATTGTGCCTTTAGAATTCATAAGAACACTACATTCATTTAGCTGAAGTCTAATCTATTACATCGTCTGTCTCATTTTGAGAAAATCTTTTAAAAGTAAATTTCTGAGAGGACAGAAACTCACCAGTGAATTGTTGTCTTTTATTCAACTATACAATGTAATGTAATGAAGTGAAATGGCCCTCACTCTTAATAATACGTTATGTGTGGTGAAGCACATTACCTAACCCACTTACACTGCTTGAAACAGATAACCCTGGGTGGGAGACATCAAACATAAAGTACAGAAGGCTTAATTGATTTTTTAAAATCCTGTTTATAACAGCAGAACCAATGCAATGAGTCATAACAGCTCAGTGAAACCCTTCAGGCAAGAAGTTGACCTTGTTTGCAGACTTCCTTTCATTTTTTAAGGGTTTATGAACATGTTTTCTTCTTCAGGAAAACACTTTGTCCCGCCATATGGTAAGCGGTTCTATATGGTGCTGGGCGAATGTGTGATGTAGGCTTTTGTGGCAGAAGTGACGCTTACATATGGATGCACAGCTGGCCGAGACAAACCCAACATCACCGCAAGAATAGCTAACTAACTGTAGGGAAAAGACATTAGAGACATTAGAAGACCCTGTGGTAATTGCCTAGTTGTGTCCTTCTGGAATAGAGAATGAAATATCTCTGTGGCTTTATTCCTTTAAGGGAAATGGCATTGAACTTGTAATGAGTCACTTCCACCCGAACTATTCAGTTAATTCTTCCTCAACGGCCTCCCTTATTGCCTAATCGACACAAAAAACAAACAAAAAACCCCAGAAAGATTTCTAATAATTGATCATATTAACTGGGATTGAATTTTGTTTGTCTTGACCTACTGTGACGTCCAATTTTATCATTCTTGGCCAGTGTAAATTGGAGGCTGCTCCTGAGTGACTAATCTTGTGACATCGTA